CTCCGCGCTGCGCCCGCACAGCTCCTCCCGGTCGATCCGACCATTCACAAACAAAATGCCATTCTGCAGATTTACCTCCAGAAGGTCCCCGCGGCCCTTGGACGCCACCCGGAACAGGCGCGGCACCAGCTCCGTCAGCTCCAGCCCCAGGTCCTGCGCGATGCGGCCCACGAAGGTGCCGTGTTTGGCCTCCTCTGGGACCGAGTAGTGGAGCTGGCCGCTCCCTGCCTCCCAGATTGCGGGGAGCAGAAACGAGAGCAGCAGGGGCGGGGCTCTCAGGCCTCCACTCCCGGTAAACACCATCGCAAAACAGTACCTTTCGTACCTCTCTTGCTTTACTCCAAAATCATACTTTCAATGCCGTCTTTTCAATCATTTTCTCCTTGCCATTTCTGTCTTCTCTCAGCTTGCGACGAAATGGAGCTTCCTGTTTTAATTTATAGTGTCTGATACCTCATTCCCATTGAAAGGACTTTGTGGTATACAGCGACATCATGTGGTTAAGGTGAATTTTAGCGCCATTCATTGGTCTTTGAAAATAGTCTATATTCATTTTCAGACCATTCAACGCAATCATTTTCAGTTTATGTCCTCAAAAAAAAAAGGACATTTCAACTCTTGTGTGACTCTATACCGTTCTTTAGCTATTAACACAAACATTACAGTTGGATTTAATAAAATTTAAGATATATTTGTATCATATTTAAAATGATTTAGTGACTCATATATTTACTATTAAATACTTTTAACAGTATGCTGAAGTTTTAATATAATCCACTCAAGCCACTAAATTTCACCTATGTAAGACAGTGTGACTATTTTATATGATATTGACAGTTAAATTAAGTACTAAGTATATGGCATTTTAAGGATTTTGTCTGGTATACATTTTTAATGTCTTCATTGTATAAACAACTTCATTCTCTGACTTCAAGTGTTCAGATAAAGATATTTCTTGCTTGCTATGTAACATAATGACCTAAGTTTTGAACTCATAACTTTATTTTTCAAAAGTCATATTATTAAATTATTGTTGGCTGAATCTTTTTTGCTACATAAAATTATCAACTATACCTTTGTCCTTATTAAGGCCAAACATTGTTATAGTTTAACAAATGATGTATCACTATCCAGAACAAAACACAAAAACCTTAGAAGCCCATCAACAAGATGAAAAACAAAATTACAGTATGAAGATTGCCTGTCTTAGAAGAAATTATTTGAGAATGACCTATCAATAAACTTCAATTCAATTCATGATCAAAACTCCATAGTGACATCAAACTGACTAAAAACAATAAGAAAAATATATTCCCAGGTGAGCGCTGGTGGTTCACGCCTGTAATCCCAGCTACTCTGGAAGCTGAGATCTGAGGATCACAGTTCAAAGCCAGCCTGGGCAGGAAAGTGTGCAACTCTTATCTCCAATAAACCACCAGAAAAGCGGAAGTGGCATTGTGGCTCAAGTGGTAGAGTGCTAGCCTTGAGATGAAGAGCTGAGGGACAGTGCCCAGGCCCATAGTTCAAGCCCCAGTACTGACCAAAAAAAAAAAAAGAATGGAAAACTATATTAACTAAAATAAAACCCCACTAAAATAAACTGGCCAAATAAGAGTAAATAAGCTAAAAGAAAAGCAAGGCAGGTACTGGTGGCTCATGCCTGTAATCCTAGCTATACACAAAGCTGACTTCTGAGGAACAAGGGTCAAAGCCATCCCAGGCAAGAAATTCAACCTCTGAGACTCTTTTTTTTTCCTCTGAGACTCTTATCTCCAAGTAACCACCAGAAAACCGGAAAGGGACAGTTGGCTCAAAGTGGTAGCACACTAGCCTTGAGCAGAAAAGCGCAGGGACAGCATTCAGACCCTGAATTCAAGCTCCACAACCAACCAAAAAAGGAAAAAAGATAGAAAACCAGAAAATACCTAATGGGCAGTAAAAAGAAAATAGACTGAAAACTTTTTTAATGCATAGATATATGAGCCGATATAATTCATATCATTGTAGTCCTGAAGGTAAAGAAGAAAAAGGAGATTGATAAAGTACTCAAAGAAATAATGAAAACAGAGGCTGGGAAGGTGGCTCAGTGGTAGAGCACTTGCCTTGCATGAATGAGGCCCTGGGTTCAATTCCTCAGCACCACATAAGCAAAAAGAAAAAAAGCCAGAAGTGGCGCTGTGGCTCTAGTGGTAGAGCACTAGCCTTGAGCTGAAGAGCTGAGGTACAGTGCCCAGGCCCAGAGTTCAGGCCCACGACCGGACCCCCCCCCCAAAAAAAAGAATGAAAACACCACAAATATAGTAAAACAAGGAGGTAAGTAAACCTTAAGACGAGATAGTTAAGCTTCAGAAAATAAAAGACAAAAAATATCTTGAGAACAATAGAAGACACATTACCTACTCTACATGGGGAAAACTATTCTAATTACAGTAATTTCCCATGAGTAAATATGAATTTACAGAGGAAGTATCATAATATTTTTTAAATTCTGAATTAAAACTACCAACCAGAAGCCTAAATCCAACAAAAACTATTCTTTTCAAATGAAAGGAAAATCAAGAAATTTTCAAGCATATCTACACTAAAAAAATTACTAAAGATTCTCTTAAAAGAAAAGAAACAGGCTGGGAAGGTAGCTCAGTGATAGAGTGCTTGCCTTGCATGCATGGGGCCCTGGGTTTGATTCCTCAGCACCACATAAGCAGAAAAAGCTGGAAGTGGCACTGTGGTTCAAGTGGTGGAGTGCTAGCCTTGAGCTGAAGAACTGAGGGACAGTACCCAGGCCAAGAGTTCAGGCCCTAGGACCAGCAAAAGAAAAAAGAAAATAAAAAAAGTAAAGAAAAGAAACAATTGGGCATTGGTGCCTCATTCCTGTAATCCTAGCCACTCAAGAAGCTGAGATCAGGATCACAGTTTGAATACTGTGAGAAAGTTCCTAAGATATAAGAAATGTCCAGATGAGACACCACAAGCAGCTCATTGGTTTACACAGTCCTTCTGAGATTGTTAAGGAGATTACTTTCACAGTATTGAGCAGGAATGGGTGTTCAAGTCACCATTGCAGATGCCTAAGTCAACTACTTTAATAAACTGACATGTCAGTTAAATTTTATAGACTTTTATTCAGAATATCAATGGATTTTAGAAATAGAAAAAAAAATTGTAGGGGCTGGGAAGGTGGCTCAGTGGTAAAGCGCTTGCCTTGCATGCATGAAGCTCTGGGTTTGATTCCTCAGCACCACATAAGCAAAAAGAAAAAAGCCAGAAGTGGTGCTGTGGCTCAAGTGGTAGAGTGCTAGCCTTGAGCTGAAGAGCTGAGGGCCAGCATCCCGGCCCAGAGTTCAGGCCCCACGACAAGATCCCCCCACCCAAAAAAAAAGAAAGTAATTGTGCTGTAACAACATATCAAAGAAAGGTTGGACAAATGGGATTGCATGAAGTTGCAGAGCTTCTGCACGGCCAAGGACAAAGCTAGCAAGATCAATAGAAAGCCCACAGATTGGGAGAAGATCTTCACTAGCCATACAACAGACAAGGGTCTCATATCTCAAATATACCTGGAAGTCAAAAAATTAAATCCCCCAACAACAAATCCTCAAAGAAACAACTGCCCAATAAATAAGTGGGCTAAAGACTTACAGAGAAACTTCTCTGAAGAGGAAATAAGAATGGCCAATAGACACATGAAGAAATAAATGCTCAACTTTTCTAGCCATAAAAGAAATGCAAATCAAAACAACATTGAGATACCACCTCACCCCAGTTAGAATCAAGAACTCTAATAACAACAGATGCTGGAGGGAACCCTACTGCATTGTTGGTGGGAGTGTAAACTTGTTCAACCACTTTGGAAAGTAGTATGAAGTTCCTCAAAAGACTCCACATAGAGCTCCCCTATGACCCAGCAATCCCACTTTTGGGCATTTTACCCTAATAATCACAAACAACACCATACTAAAGCTACCAGCACAACTATATTTATTGCAGCATTAGTTACCAAAGCTAAAATATTGAACCAACCCAGATGCCCCTCAGTAGATGAATGGATCAAGAAAATGTGGTACTTTTCCAGCTCTCTCTCTTTCCCATCTTCCTTTCCCAGCTCTTTCTTTTCCCAGCTCTTTCTCAGCTTTTTCCTTCTCATCTCTTTCCCAGGCCTTTCCCAGCCTCATGGAAGGCCAACCTGGCCTGGTCCCAGCAGGTCTACTGAATAAACCTACCCCTTACCTGAATAAAAGAAAAGAAAAGAAAAGAAAATGTGGTACATATACAGAATGGAATTCTATGCCTCCATCAGAAAGAATGACATTGCCCCATTTGTTAGGAAATGGAAAGACTTGGAAAAAATTATATTAAGTGAAGTAAGTCAGGCGCAAAGAAACATAGGTCCCATGGTTTCCCTTATTTGCAATAACTAGTATATGTCTGAGACAAGCAGAAAAGGTCAGATAAGATGATGTTAAGCTAAATGAACCCCAAGATAAGGACAAAAGTGATTTTTTTTCTTGCTTGCTATAGTTTCTAACGTATTTATAAGGTACCACGTGATTTTTTGTTGTTTTGTATGTCCCTCCCCCATGGTATAACCACTGCTTTCACTGTATTTGATGTTGGTATAATTTGGGGAGCGGAAGGGAAAAAACAAATTGTTTAAATAGGGATACAGACTGACCCATTGCAATAATGAGATGTACAAGACACTGTGCTGAAAAACAAACTTTACAATTTAGGTGGGGGAGGGGAATGGAATGTAGTTGTGGAGATAGGAGGGAAGGAATGGGAGGGGGAAAACAAAAAACAAAGGAGGAAGCAACAATGGTTGATAAGAAATGTACTCATTACCTTGCTCATGTGATTGCAACCCCTCTGTACAGTATTTTCACAATAAAAAACTTATTTAAAAATAAATTGTGCTATAAATTTAAAGAAGGAGGAAGTGGTGGAGAAAAAGAGGAGCAGGAGGACAAGAAAGAACAGTATCAGCAGCAGCAGCAGCCAGGCTCCTGGTGGTTCATGACTGTAATTCTAGCTACTCAGAAGTCTAAGATCTGTGTATCTGCCAGTCCAGGCAGAGACTTAACCTATAAGTAACCAAAAAAGCTGAAAGTTTGGCTCAATTGGTAGAACATTAGTCATGAGTGGAAGCAAAGCCCTGAGTTCAAGCTCTGGTACCAGCTCAGAAAAAAAAAAAGGAAGAAGAGAAGGAGGAAGAGAAATAAATATGGATAAATAAATTTGAATTTTCTTCTTTTGAGTTTTCTATATAGAAAGACTGTCTGAAAAGAAAAAAGGATACATAAAGC